GTTAGGTCATCTTTTTCGGAGATTGACAGTGAGCCTGGTGCTTCTAGTCTTTCCTGTGTGTGTATGCAAGGACACCATTAAATATATGTATATTATATATCTCTATATATCTACGGCCAACTGCATTATGATCTGAACTAGGCCTGGGTAGTTATGTGCCCAAGTTATACTGCTTACTGGCTGCATACTTGAGCACAGTGTCTACGGTGCAGTTACACACAATGCTAAACAGTGTCCCAAAATAACCAAGTTAGGAAAAAAGCTCATATTGGATAACTTATCCATACATACATGTGTCATAGGTCATATGCATCCACAACCAAGCAAAATAAATGCACAATAAGATCCCTCACAAAATATTTTATGCAAAAAAACTAAATTAATTTGCAAAATATGCCCTTAGTATATATGGGCACATCACTTGCAAGCAACAAGGAGAACTGCAGATCCGCCATAGCAAACTCAAGCATAAGCATTACAAGAAAAAGACCCAGCAGCTGCTCAAGTGTGATGGACTCAGAAACAGATTGGTCAAGTCACACCATATTTTCATGTGACACAGTTTGTGTAGCTGTTGTCCCTATTGCCAGGGAGAGTGGCTTGCTGTCTGAAAGACTGATGCGCTGTGCAGCACAAACCCATGTTTAAATAAGCTGGCACTGTACTTGTAATAAATTTCATAGCATCCCTGCCCGCCGGTTTTATTTGGCTAACTTTGCCAGCCTGTTATCCTGGTGCACATGCATGCTGGTGTTACCGGAGGAATAACAGGAACAAACCGCAGAAGCCACACATAGAGATATAGACACAAGTCTTCAGGAAGTAACAGGTCTTTTATTTGCACACCGATCGGGTCTCAGATGAACTCCTGTTCCAAAAATATCTGAGAGGCAGAAAGCATGGTGCAGAGGCCTTTTGTTAGCAGCATATCCCCTCCCATACAGTATAACCCCTCCTACATTCCTCAGACCAATCAGCACACAGGATATTCAGGATCACCTTATATGGGCAGACCACATGGCATTTACAGACAGAGGAATGTACTATCCACTTCCACACATGCTCAGTATACTGATGACTCATCCAACTGTTTGTAATCAGATACTAATTAGCACATGCCATGTGGAGATTTCGGCCTACTAAATTTTGACCATGCTGGAATCCCATCACACTGGGAGGGCACACACACAGTATTTATGGGTGGTACACCATTCATGGTACTAATTGTATCATGGAAACGAACATGGACCACCTCCTTATGCAGCTTGTGTTCTTGTTTGTCATTTATTGTTTTTTCATATCCTCATTGTTCAGCAGTGCAGAATATGTTGATACAATACAAATATTAATAATGATATGAGAACATAAAGGGTCAGTACGCAAATTGTTAAATATGAGATATTTTAATCATAAGATATTGGTAACAAAATACAATGTAGGTAATATACCTATTCATGCTCATAATTGACAAAATTACTATATGTGCATATTATCCAGTGTGGGCATTTTTCTTTGGGGGGGTTTCATCTGTGTTGGCATTTTTCCTGTGGATATTTTCCTTGTGGGCATGACAGTGGGTTTTTTTCTGTGTGCAATTTTCATGTGAGCTTTTTTCTGGTCACTGCATGCAACACTAATATTTCCACACTCAGTATAGGCAGGAATCACTTGTGCAGTAACCTGCAGCCACACACTGTGTGTATTACTTAGGGAACAGCCTGTAAGTTCCAAAGCACAGACAGCGGCACAGAAGCACAATGCAAATCAAATAATCAGTGAAAAGAAATGGGAAAATTAAAAAAAACAGTGCCCTATCAACTTGCACAAACTGCAACTGCGGAAGTATCAGGCATAAAAAAGACTAAAAAGAACTGCTACACTCAGTGCAGGCATGATTCACATTTTTTATCTTGCAGGGTTAAGTCCTCCTCTAGTGGCTGTCTATCACCAAAGTGGCCCACTTATAGGATACGTGATATGTTGTAGGTAGGCAGATGTGTCATTGGTATGAAGATCATAAAACATATAAAAGAGACAGCTATAGTGCTATTTTTTAATACAAATGGTTAAAATATCCACAATGCGTTTCACCAAAGTGACTTTCTCAAGTGAAGGTAGAAAAAGAAAAACTGTCAGAAATCCTACTGTTTTATCCATTTGTACAGTGAAATGCTTCAGAGTTTTTTTTTTTACTTATTGTATTGCTATTACTATTTTAATAATTTCTAACAGTTTTGTTAAATACATTTTTATATTATATGTTTCGACTTACCCTGACCCTTCTTTTTCAGCCTGGATACATATTCTATTGATGGAGCCCTGTGGACTGAGCAAAACCTCTACTTTGCTCCTTAGCAAATACTTTCATCTGTCACTCTTTCACCTTTTATAACCTTTCAATAACTGTCTTCTAACAAAAACTTCCTTTTTGAGAAGTTTCAGATGCTTAACAAAATTGATATCATAACCAAGATGCCCACCACATGTGTTTGCCTTATATAACAAATTATACTATTAACATTTATTCCAAACTGCAGTATAACCAGATCAATTCGACAACGTTAAAGCTTTCTACAAATATTCAGCAAGTCTTCTGAAATGAATTGCCATAGAGATTCTGGGACAATTATCCCACCCATGTAGCTGGCAATACCCTCAACCTTATTTTCTCTTATTCATGTACAGCATCTAATATCTGCAACACACCATTTCCTCTCTCTGATCACCACCTCTTATCACTTGCTCTCGATTACCCCCTCACCCAACAACCTCAGCCTAACCCCCATGAACTCAGGAGGAACCTTAATTCTATTGACCTTCAGCAGCTGTCAGCTGACATTGATTCACAACTGCTATCCATCCCTTCCCTCTCCTGTCCCTCACTGGCCATCTCCACATATAACACTACCCTCACCTCTGCCTTGAACACTGCAGCCCCGCTCCAAACATGCACCTCGAGGAGGACATGACCTCAACCTTGGCATGCTAAATCAACACGCTATCTGCAGAATTGATTTCAATGGGAAATTTTTACCCTAGAAAAATATTTGAAAGAAAAAATTGCTCCTAGGGGTTTAAGATTCTTCAAGGTTCCTACTTTCGATCAGGACGATGCTCAATTCATGGAGATATGGAACTCAGCACTAGAGTCCTTCTCTATGAGGATAATGTCCATAATTATACAACGCAAATGCAATTTGGTTAAACTAGATAAGGAAATTAACAAAATAAAAGAGAAATTACAACCAGTAACAAGATGTGAGGAGGTAACTAATTCCCTCTTTAAAGTACAGGAGAACTTGGATAAGGTTGAACAGGAAACTGAAAAAAAAGAAAATTTGTACATGATAAACACGAGTATGATAATAACCAAGTACATTCCTTTTCTAAACATAAAATAAAGAGTTATTATAAACATTATAGAAATGAGAATAAATAGTTAATGATGAAAGAAATACAGATTTAAAAAAAAAACAGAATTACAATCAGAAAAGCACTTTCGGATACAATTCCTATGATATGAATAAATATATTAGAACATCTGTATCTGAAAATACTCCACTTAAATTCAAATCTTTATACCCAAAACAAAATAAAAGAGGTAATTTAAAACCACACTCACATACCACCTCATCCAAATAGATTTAGAATTTTGTCAGACAATTCGTCAGGAGACAGATTTACTAAAACATCTAATATTAAACAAAATTCTAATAGGGAAAATTAAAACAAAAATAAGATTATGTCACCTCATTTTTTAGAACGGGCATTTCCTCTTCGATCCCAAGGACCCCAAAAACGACACTGGGATGAAGAGGAAATAGAGCAGGAAGACCCCTGGACAAAACAACAAAAAAGAGGAAAACTGAACCCATAGGTATTTTCAACCTTTCAAATAAAATTCTCACTCAGAAGGAAATTGAAATCTCGAATCAGAGTTTAAAATGTGCCCCAACTAGCCACAATGATCCATTTAACACTTATATAGATATCAGTAAATTCGTCAGGAAACTTTGTTTAAATTTTTCTTTTAAGAAATCAGTGTGCTATAAAGGTACAAATGACCAAGGAGAAAACACTCTAGGCGACATTGTCCATACCAACTTAAAAGGAAAATCAAATTTTTTTCCACGCCACTATATTAGTAGCTCTATGAAAGTCTTCGAATCACTAGTAACTAAAGATATAAAAAAAATACCAAGAACTAGAAGATCCAATATTAATTTTCTACAAAATAAAGCCTTATATGATTTACAAAATGACCAGACAAAGGTGGAGGTGTCGTTATCCTTAACACTGCTAATTATGTTCAAGAAGTGTATAGGCAACTTAACGACACCTCCACCTATTGTAAATTAAATGGTGATCCTACACCAAGGATTAAGAATGAATTAATGAAACTCCTAGATCATGGTAAATCCACTGGCATTCTTAATCAGCAGGAATACAACTCTTTGAATGTACAAACATACCGTATCTCAGTACTCTATATTCTGCTAAAAGTCCATAAGGACCCAAAAAAAAACCCGGGTAGGCCTATAGTCTCAGGGGTAGGATCTCTTTTAAGCAGACTTTCAGAATACATCGATAAACAACTCCAACCTCTCGTCATCATACAGCCAGCATACCTTAGAGACTCCACTCAACTGCTTAACGTCTTAAACACTATAAAATGGCATGTTAACTATTATTTAGTAACATGCAATGTCTCTAGTTTGTACACCATAATAGCTCACGACTTGGGATGTCAGGCGGTTAAATAGTTCTTGATAAAAAGTGCTAAATATTGTGATGAACAAATTAATTTTATTTTGAATGGCATCCGGCTTATATTGAGCAATAACTTATTTTGGTTTAATGGGTCCTTTTTTTTACAGTTACTCAGTAATGCGATGGAGACCAAGTTCACACCCAGTTACGCCAACCTTTTCATGTCCCATTGGGAGGAATCTTACCTCTCTGGCATGGATGACTGTGTGCAAACTTGTTCCTCTATCGCAGATACATCAATGATGTTTTTTTTATTTGGAGAGGTGATCTGGATTCTCTTAATTCCTTTTTGGAATTTTTAAATACTAACCCTAGAGGTATTGTTTTAACCAGTCAAATTAGTCAAAGTAATGTACAGTTCCTGGACCTTGACATATATGTAGAAAAAGACACACTACAAACCTGAACCCATTTCAAGCCAGTGGATGTTAACAGTTATATCGACACTACTAGCTGTCACTATGATCCTTGGCTTCGAAATGTGCCTAAGGGACAATTTCTCAGAGTCCTAAGAAACTGTAGTGATCCAGAACAATTAGCGTCCAAGCAGAAAAATTTAAATCATTTTTCATTGAGAAAAATTATAGCTCTTCATTCTTGGATCAGCAAATCCAAGAAATGAAACAGGTCCCTAAAAATACAGTTCTGGAATATAAAACTAAAAAAAACATAGAAAGCAATGGAGAAGAAGAACCTCTCCTTATTCTGAATTATAGCAGCAAAGCAAATAAAATTAAAACCATCATTAATAAATATTGGCACATACTTTTTTCTGATATCATCAAAACCAAGCCCAAAATTGTTTATAGGGGTACTAGGAATTTACAGAGCCTCTTGATTAAAAATCACATCAACTCCTCATCCATTACTAATCACTTCTCCCAACAACCAGGTTTTTACCCCTGTAAGATGTGTATGGCGTGTAAAAAACAACATTCCCTAAGAGAAAAGTAGAATTTTTTACATCTAAATCCACTAATAAACAATATAAGATCAAGTCCGTTTTAACATGCCATTCCTCTAATGTGGTGTATCTCCTCTGGTGCCCTTGTGGTCTACAATATGTGGGTATGACCACTAGACCTTTTAAAACCCGCATAAGGGAACACATGGGTAACATCCAGAGGAGATACACTAATCATAGCGTTTCCTCACATTTTTCTGAACATCGTGATGGGAACCCATATATACCATATATACTTATACCACAGGAAGAGGGACTGGAGAGGAGAAAACAACTTTAAAGAACTAAGTAAGGTGGAGGGAAGATGTATTTTTGATTTAGAAACCCTAGCTCCTTCAGGTTTGAATTTAGATTTTGAACTTATTCAATATTTATAATTTTTATTATTTTTTATTTTGTAATCCTTAATTTTTTGCTATAGGAAGATCAATAATGTATATATCTACATTATTTTTATTTAATTTTTTTAATGTATTTCTACTTATTTTTAATTTTTTTCCTCCACCTTGCTTGGTATCCATTTCTTTTCCTCATCTTGGTTACATTTTGTTATAGTGCAGCTTCTTTCACACTGGCTATATTTGGAATTTATTGTAATTTGCTTTATTTCTATATCTGCATTATTGATTATGTTTTTGATTGATATATATATATATATATATATATATATATCATTGGCTTGTCATCCATAACTGTATGATATGTTTAATAATACCTATACACCTGTTATCTATGATTGTATGACAATAGTAACATCCTGATTGCCAATATACTAACATGTATTTTATTTTTATTTTTGGATGTATTCTTATTGTGTTGTGTCTCTTACAGAAATATGGGGTTACACCTTCATTTATTTTTCTGTTTTTAAATTATTTTATGTATAATTTTATGGTTAAACAATATATATATGTGCATAAGGGCATGTTGCCCTCACCTAAGATGGTGACTGATTCCTATGAACTATAGATACCTAAGATTAGAGGAAATGACGTCATCTTCGGTGGACTGGATATGACGAATGGACTTCGCACATCGGAAGTGACATGACCCGCCACACCGGACCGCACAGATGAAGATGATCGCAGCAATTTCAGATGAAATTTAAACAGCAGTATACAGGATCTATACAGAGACATTGATAAAGACGACTAAGTCGAAAACGCGTCTGTTCTCTGCATTTTTGTAAGCCTATTTTATACTTTGTTTTTATTGAATAAATGTATTATTTGATCCATTCATTTGCTGCTGTGGCTTCTCCTACCTCCGTGATCCATCTGATTCCAGTGGTCCACAGTCATTCGTTTTTAGCCTTTATAGGCACCCTTGGGCTTTCTAGACAGAGCCTGGCACGGCTCTGGAATCTGTGAGTTGAACCAATTATTCATCTATACTCACTTGTATCTTGGCAGTATACACTATGTTTTGTGTTATTGTTTTTAGGTATTGCTTTTGACCATCCTGCCATTCATGTATATGCATAAGTATTTATTTATTTTATATTTATATCTTGCTTGAAGGGTACACTCTCACTCTGTGTTTTTTACACTTTGTTGTTGGTGCTATTTTTTCAGAGTGATAAACCGCGCCAGAGAAAGTTGTGACAGTATACCAAAGTTTTGTGTTAATATATATATATTGGTGTTTACACTTATGTTAGATCGGTGTACACTGGTATATGCAGACTTCGGAACTACTCTTCCCCATCAGCAGCTGGTCTCTGCACTACTCATCAAGCAGCTTACCCATCTTCAGTCAGAAGGGGTTAGCAGTGCGATTATAATTAGTGTTCTTGCATAGCATATATATTATTCTTATTATTATTATAGCCAAATTTACCACCCTAACTCCTCCCACAGTTTTTACACTACATAGACAGTAATATACCGAAATGTGCAGATTGTTCCCGATTGGTGTGCTATTACTTTGTAGAACGTTTTGCCGAATGGTTCATGGAATATCGTTATTCTTGTGGCGAAATTGGTCCCATAGGAATGAATGGCAAAATTTTCAAAACTAGAATGGGAGCTGCCAAAAGCTGAAAAATCAGGACATGATTTCTAAACTGCCACCACTCCCTCATTTTCAAGCCCACCTACACAAATCTTATATCAAAATGTTCAGCTATCCCTGCTGCCACTACAAATGGCTAAGCGATAGTCCTGATAGTTTTCACAATATGACCATTTGTTTGCAACTCACGCCGTCCATTGACATTCATTGAAACTCCACTCTAGCCAGCTCAAATTTAAAGGGCAATTTCTAAACTGCAACTGTGCCTTCATTGTTAATATTTCAGAGACATACTATGCATCACAATGTAGGTCTGGGTCTTGTGATTATCACAATATAAAGCTCTTCACTTTAGGATTTATAGTTTTTAAAATACAACCGTATGAAGTTGGCAACCGCCAAAATACTCTGACCTGTGCCAGGCTGGAGCAGCAAGTGATGTCATAGACAGGGCCTTTTGTACACCTGCTAATGTTTTTATAAATGTATGTTTTAATGTAACTGTGAAGCACTTTGGGCAACAACGTTGCTATTAAATGTAAATGTAATGTAAATAAATAAAAGTTGAAATACATTTCTCACTCTATGAAGCTTGCCATGTGCACTTTTTACATTTGATCAATCAATTAGTTAGTGTAATGTTTGCTATCTTTACTCACTCCAAACACTCCACACAGTTACTCTGCCCAGTCCAACCTTTCCACAGTTACTCCAGCCACTCCAACCACACAACAGTTACTCAAGCCACTCCACCCAGTTACTCCGCCCACTCCAGTTGTAGACTTCTGGTGGAGGCAAGAACACTTCCCACAGTTTCCCCAGAAATTGTAGCTTTTCTAGTTTTCATTATGCTCTGCATGCTGTCTCCTCTTCTAATTCCGTCTGACACAGAGAAGTCAGCACTACTGTGTGCCCCTGATACTCCAATTTAGCGCCACTAGAGTGTGTCACGTAGCCCAGTGCCCCTGAAGGCTGATTTGTGATTAGGAGTATGTAGTTGTCTGTGAGCTGGCCCTTGTGGAATGGGCTATGTGTGCAGGCTCACTCGAACTGCAAGAGTTTGGTGGGGCCGATTTTCTGTTTTCTGCCTATTCTAAGAAGCTGCGTAGTTATAGGTACCTAAAAAGGTCATGAGTGGTGTATGCTGCCTGTTGTCTAGGAAGATCGTCGTATGAGATTATTTGGCCGCTTGCGTAAAAGTGATGTAGTCAGGGCCGGCGTGTCCTATAGGCAACTTAGGCAGCCGCCTAGGGCGCAACGGCCCTGGGGGGGGGCAATAGATTTAGGTGACTGACAGGAGGGAAGTGCACAGAGGACCACTAAGGGGGGGAGAGGGGACTGGAGGGTGCCACTAAGGGGTGGAGATTGGTTTGGAGAGGACCACTGGGGGAGGAGGGGAACTGGAGGGATGCCACTAAGGGGGAGGGACTGGAGAGGACCACTAAAGAGGGGAGAGGGACTGGAGAGGGACACTAGAGGGGAAGGACCACTAAGGGGAGGGAGGACCACTGTGAGGGAGGAGGGAAGGAATTGAGGTGTGGGGGACCACTAAGGGGGAGGGACCACAAGGGGGTGGGGGGGATGGAAGGACCACTAGAGGGAGAGGGAGGACCACTGAGGGAGGGGAAGGAATTGAGGTGTGAGAGGACCACTAAGGGGGAGAGGGACCTAAAGAGGGGGTAGAGGGGGCTGGAGAGGACCACTAGAGGGGGGGAGAGGGAGGACCACTAAGAGAGGGGGAGAGGGGGGAGCGAGAGGACCACTAAGGGGGGACTGGAGAGGGACAGGGGGCCAAGGGAGAGCACTAAGGGACAGGAGGGGAGAACACTGAGGGACAGAAGGGAAGGGGAGATCACTAATTGATAGGAGGGGAGAGCACTATTAAAAAAAAAAAAAGAGCTGCTCCCCTCTGAGTCCCTATCCTACCCCACAAACCCTCTCCTTTACACTACACACATACACAATGCATCCTTACACATACACAGAAACATACAATGATTCCCTACACACACACAGAAACATACAATGCATCCCTACTCACACATAGACACACCGAAATACACAATGCATCCCTTACTCGCGCGCGCACACACAAACACACACACTGCTTCTCTTATACGCAGGGGCGTACCTAGAGCATTTGGCACCCGGGGCGGATCCTGTGCTTGGCACCCCCCCCCACCCAAAAAAAAAAAACCTGTAAAAAATGTTAAAGGTTTTCTTTCTTTATTTTTACAATTTGTAAACTTTGCAAAACCGCTGTCAGCCCCTCCTACAAAACCCTTGTCCTGCCCTGCCCCTCCTACAAAACCTCTGTCCTGCCCCTTTTACAAATCCTGTACTGCCCCATCTACAAAACCCCCGCAACCCCCTTCCACAAATCCCTGCTTATCCCCCCTTATAAAGACTCCTGTCCCAATACAAAACCCCCGCCCCCTTCTACAAAATCCCTGCAGCCCCACACACACATTTACAGGCAGACAGTCACACACTCAGTTACAGACAGACAGTCACACGCTCAGTTACAGGCAGACAGTCACACACAGTCAC